TTCAATGTGACCTTTTGAATTGTCTCCAAAAGTTACTTCTCCTCCATTTTTGGCGTTAAGCTCAATGAATCGACTTTTGTCTCCGGTCATGTGTCTTGAGAATCCACTATCAAGGTACCATGAATTTGAATTTGTTTCCCGTGCCTTGTAGCAATACTCCTTTCCCTACAAACATAGATTAATTTTTGATTTTTGGTACCCAAATTCTTTTGGGTCCATATTCATTAGTTTCCAAAATCCTAGTCCCCTTAGGTATCCATTTGTGTAGGATATTTTTATCTTTAGTAGTAATGAGTTCTTTAGGAACCCACATACTTCTAACGATTTTTCCATTAGAGGTTCTTTGGGGACCTCTATGATTGTAGTTTCTAAAACTTTTTCTAACAAAGTTGGATTTTGAATTTCCACATTTTTCAAAATGTTTTGTTCCAACTTTATCAAAAGAAGTTTTAAGATCATCAATTTTCTTTTGATGATCATCATTGATCTTTGAAAGTAAATTTTGCAAATCTAAATTTTTCTTTTCAAACTCTTCTAGTTTGATTTGCAAATCTTTGATTTTACTTTCAAGATCGTTGTTGGTTTTGGATATGAGTTTGTTTTCATTTTTCAATTTTGAAACATCATTTTTATATTTTAAAAATAATTTCTCATAATCCAAAGCCAACCCATTATATTCCTCTAATAACTCATCATAGGATAAATCATCAAAATCGGATGAGTTAGAGGTTACCTTAGAATCTTCCCCAAATGCCATCAAGCACAAGTTAGCTACTTCTTGTTCCTCTTCATCGGAACCTTCTTCATCACTCCATGTAGCCACATGAGCCTTGTGCTTATTCTTTGATTGACCCTTTGTCTTCAATTGTGGGCAATCATATTTGACATGCCCTGGCTTTTTGCATTCGTAGCAAATGATTGGGTCCTTCTCTTTCGGTTCATTTTTGAGGCCTTCATTTCGTTTGAATTTTCTTCCTCGATAAGGTCTCATCATTTTTCTGAACCGTTTGGCAAACAATGCCATTTCCTCGTCATCGTCATCGTTATTCGAATCACTCTCATCTTTTGTGGATTTGAGAGCAACTCCAATATTTTTCTTCTTCTCCTTCTCCTTTGGTGTCTCATCAATATTGTCAAGGTCCACCTCATCTTCGAGCATCATTTCATGAGTGAGGAGTGACCCAATTAGCTCTTCAAGAGTTAAGGACGTTAAGTCCTTAGACTCGATGATTGCCGTCTTCTTTGATTGCCACGATTTTGGGAGGGAGTAGACTAACTTCCTCACAAGCTTTTCATTTGAAATGATCTCTCCATATGATTTGAGACCATTGACAATCGTTGAAAATCTATCCGTCATAGATTTGATATCTTCATTTGGTTTCATCCTGAAATTTTCATAGCTATGCGTTAGAATACTAATTTTAGATTTCTTTACCTCATCGGTACCTTCATGAGTGACTTGAAGTTTGTCCCATATTTCTTTAACGGTTGTACACGATGAAACTCTTCCGTATTCATCTGGTCCAAGAGCACAAAAAATGATATGGATGGCTTTGGAGTTGAGCTGGAACATTCTTGTCTCTCCTTCACTCCACAACCTTGGATGAGTGAGAGGCTTGATGTATCCTTCTTCTACAGCATTCTATGCTCCCATGTCACTTTCTTGAATGAAGTACATAATTCTATTCTTCCAATAGGCATAGTTAGCTCCATTGAAGAAAGGAGGCTTGTTGACGGGCATCGAGTCGAGACCGGAGTCGAAGTTTGAAGCGGAGGCCATTGATGACTTTGATTATCGATATAACTCTTCCCGAATCGACTCAAGAAGCGATTAAACCTTCAAATGAGTTAGGCTCTGATACCAATTGTTGAGTTAATCGATTGACGGAATTGGCCAATAGAGGGTGAATTGGCAATTAAAAATTTGGTGGAAGCTTTTGCAGAAAATTAAAAGTAATTGCACAACGATTTAGAGTGGTTGAACTTTCTCAATCAAAGTCTACGTCCACTACCTTAGCTATCCACACTAAGGATTTTCCAACAAATTCACTAATTTTTTCTTTCTTTTGAGGCCAAAGAGATAACCTTACAACACCCTCAAGAATATACCCCAATTCTTGAGAACACTCTTTCCCAAAGAGAAGATTACAAATTTGCAAACTTACAAGGAAAACCTCTCAAGGTAAGATGTTTGCACAATTCTAGAACAAGAAAAGAACACTCACAAATAATTACAAATGAGCACAAATAGTGTTCTTTGAAAGCAAAATGAATATTGAAAGGAAAATTGGCTTGATTTGCACAAACTTGGTGTTTGATGCTTTCTCTCTTGTTTGTCTATAATTTCTTGTTGATCAAGGGCTTCAGAACTTGTTTAAATACACCTTGAATCACTTCTGAACGTTGGGGATGATTAGTGAAGATCATATAGCCGTTTTAGTGTGAAAACAATTAATAAAATAGCTTGGAGCGTGGGGGAATCGGTACCCCCTTGGGGGGGAATCGGTTCCCTCCGAGCATACTGGAATTCTCGGAGCCAAACCATTCAGGGGGAATCGGTACCCCCTTAGGGGGGAATCGGTTCCCTCTGAGCAATCTGGAATTTTTGGCTTTGAAATGGTTCGAAATACTTTGTAAAATTATTTTCAAATTGTTTTAAGATTAAAACTTAATTTTACACTTTGAGTAAGGATTAAAAATTATCTTTGAAAGATTTGGAGTAATGTTTTGATATTCGAATAATTCTATCGAATATACTTAGAAAATCATTTGTAAAATCTTAAAATTCATTTAACTTAATTTGTTATATCGAAATATCAAACTGTTTTCAACAGTAACACGTTGATATTTTTTTACTAAATACAAAGTACTAAAATTTACATTCGAAGCATTAACTCATTTATTACATTACACTACAATATAAAAGAAGCATTGACTGGTTACCCCCAATCTTAGTCTTCATAGTTAGTTAACTCATCAGATGTTAAGTTTTTCAATCCTCTATTCTTTCTCTTATTTCCTTCTATATATACATAGTTCAAGTTCTTGAAGTTCGACTTTTATATAGTTAGATACGTTTGAAGATTTTGTTTTTGATGGGGAAGGAATTGTAGCTTGCTTGTGATACTCGACAAATAAGTCAATATTACTCACCGAATTAATAATTTATGTGTCAATCATTGTTTGGACTGTAGCATCATTGTTCACATAGGCCATTGATGAATGTTGTGGAAACGAGGAAGTTGGAAACTTGAATTGTAGTAAAGAAAGTGTTGAATCATCATTATCTCTAGCATTGTTTGAAATTTAGTCACCAAGTCGAATGTCTCACTCGAAGGAGATGGTGAAAGATTTCCCCTCACAATAAAATTGTTATTGAAATTGCTGCCATGGAAATTTTCAAAATAGGAACTTGAGCAATGAAATTGTACGTCTTGGGTCTAATATTTTATTATTATTTTCTTAAAACTCGTCACATCGGCATGATGTGTTCTATTATTTTTATAATAATTATTTTTAAAAAAAATTAGAACACGTAACACGTTGATATTTTGTTTACTAAATACAAAGTACTAAAATTTACATTCGAAGCATTAACTCATTTATTACATTACACTACAATATAAAAGAAGCATTGAGTGGTTACCCCCAATCTTAGTCTTCATAGTCAGTTGACTCATCAGATGTTAAGTTTTTCAATCCTCTATTCTTCTCTTATTTCCTTCTATATATACATAGTTCAAGTTCTTGAAGTTCGACTTTTATATAGTTAGATACGTTTGAAGATTTTATTTTTGATGGGGAAGGAATTGTAGCTTGCTTGTGATACTCGACAAATAAGTCAATATTACTCACTGAATTAATAATTTATGTGTCAATCATTGTTTGGACTGTAGCATCATTGTTCACATAGGCCATTGATGAATGTTGTGGAACCGAGGAGGTAGAAAACCTGAATTGTAGTAAAGAAAGTGTTGAATCATCATTATCTCCAGCATTGTTTGAAATTTAGTCACCAAGTCGAATGTCTCACTCGAAGGAGATGGTGAAAGATTTCCCCTCACAATAAAATTGTTATTGAAATTGCTGCCATGGAAATTTTCAAAATAGGAACTTGAGCAATGAAATTGTGCGTCTCATATAGGCATGACTATATATAGCACTGAAAAAAATATGGTGAAAAAATTATGATAAGGTATGCCGAATTATTAAATATGGTCAACAAGTTCAAAAATAAGGTGATATATCACTGAAAAAAAAAACGTTTTGAATTATTATGATAGGGTATTATTAAATATTATGATATGGTCTGATATATATCACTGAAATAAGGTGATATATCACTGAAAAGTTCAGAAATGAAGTGATTGGGCACTGAAAAGATTCTTTCATTTTTCATTCAATGGTCACTGGGAAAAGAAGAAGAAGAAAAAAAGGACATTTTCATGAAAATGGTCAAAAATATTATTTAATAGTCTGATATATCACTGAATTGAAGTGACACATCACTTAAAGTTCAGAAATAAAGTGATTGGGCACTGAAAAGTTTATGTCATTGTTCATTCAATGGTCACTAAAAAGAAAAGGAAAATGACATTTTTTCATTATAAATGTCAAAAACATCATTCAATGGTCTGATACATCACTGAGATGAGGTGACATATCACTGAACTAGGTTAATATATCGTTGAAAAGGCAAAGGACTTTTTGATAGGGTCTTTTAAATTGGCTTATGTTCTTTGAATCTTCTCAAAGCTGCTTCTTTTTACAATTTCCTTAAAGTAGCGAAAGATTTTCTCAAATAATGGCTAACAATTTTTTTACAATTGTTCATTCCAATGGCCAAATTATACAAATTGATGATGGTATTAGGTTTAAATCATAGAGGCATGAAAAATATGATGTTCCATGTAGATGTATCTCATCATCAAATGAAACAAAAAATGAAAGAAAAATTGGAGCTTCTGTTTCATGTTTGAGTTATTGACACATAATCTCAGATACACCACTCACATATAGAGTAATCCAGTTTGAGGATGATGACGATGTTGCTGTTATGGTTGGACTGCATCAATCATCAAATAATCAAATGATTGAGATTTATATTGAAACCAAAAATGCAACAAATCTTCATACCTCATCAGTAGCTGCACTCGTTGCAGAAGAACTGGGATCATCTATACTATATGAAACTTGTGCAGATGATAGCCTTGTTGGGCGATTCAGTGAAAGCCTTGCTGAGTTTAGTGAGGATGATAAAATTGTCGCTCAAATGATGGAAGAAAATGACACACCAATACTTAAGGATTTTGATATCACTGATGTTGGTTAAGAGGGACAAGATTTTGATATTGAGGGCAATGTCTGGAATGTAGCAGTTTACGGGGTCATGGATTGTAACATGCTCTAAAGGGTTGGGCCCATTCACTAACACCTCTTTAACCCTAAATGCCTCAACCCCAAATACCTCACTATCGCACCATCCAATTGAAATGCATAAAATTAATTACGATGCTATAAGGAATCTTAAGATTCATGAACTAGTAAAGATATGTGTTGAGTTAATCGATTGACGAAATCGGCCAAGAGGGGGGTGAATTGGCAATTAAAATTTTTGTGGAAGCTTTTGCAGAAAATTGAAAGTAATTGCACAGCGATTTACAGTGGTTCGACTTTCTCAAATAAAGTCTACGTCCACTACCTTAGCTATCCACACTAAGGATTTTCCAACAAATTCACTAATTTGTTCTTTCTTTTGAGGCCAAAGAGATAACCTTACAATTCCCTCAAGAGTATACCCCAACTATTGAGAACACTTTTTTTCCCAAAGAGAAGATTACAATTTTGCAAACTTACAAGAAAACCTCACAAGGTAAGATGTTTGCACAATTCTAGAACAAAGAAAAGAACACTCAAAGATATGTGATGCTTACTGGGTACCTCTGACGACGGATCAATGGATTTGGTGCTTGGGTCCCAGTTTGAAGCTAAGAATGATGCACAACTAGCAATGAAAGAGTATTGTATCAAAGCTCATATCAAATTCTATGTGGTGGAGTTTGATCAAAAGACATATTTTTTAGGTGTAGAAACCATAATGTCGGCTATAAATGAATTATACGAGTTTCATACTTACAATAAAAGATATTGTGGGAAGTGGCAAGGTTTAATGGCCATCACACGTGTACATTGAACTCGTTGACACAAGACCACAAACATTTAGATTCAGATATTATATGCTCATATGTTAAGCTTCTGGTCGAAAAAATTGAAGGATCTCAGTTTCAGTGTTAGTGGCATCCATCTGGAATACATTTGTTTATATTGTGTCTTATTACAAGTCATGGTTGGCAAAAAAGAAAGCAATGGCAATGATGTACGATGATTGAAATTTATCGTATATTGAGCTTCCACATTTGCTACACACAATGAAATCTTTCATCCCAATATAACCATTGTATGGTCTTATACTCTTCCTACGACCATGATTCATTGAGAAGTTATCCCGGGAAAGAGCATTTTTGGTGGTTTATTTTGGGTTTTCAAGTCATCTATTGAACGGTTTCGCTTTTGCAAACAAATGGTTCAAGTGGCTGAGAATTTTCTGTATGGGGTATACAAATATGTCTTGATGGTAGTTGTTACACAACATGGTGACAGAAACATTTTCTCTATTGCCTTCTCCATTGTTAAAAATGAGTTGGAGGAAACTTGGAATTTCTTTCTCTCCAACTTGTGTTCCCATATTATCACTTAGGATGAGGTTCACATGATATCAAATTGTTCCCATAGTTTATTAGCGATGATTTTTATACTAGGAAGTAGGTGGTCCCCTTCCCATGCATATATGATGTATTGTATATATCATATTGCCTCTAATGCTATGATGAGGTTTAAGAACAAAAAGATAAAAAATAGATTATCGACCTGGGTAACTTCTACATTTTTATTTATCGTTCATGATTTATGCTTCATTTATGTTCTTAATTTATTACTCTTAAATCCATTTTTTAAGGATATGCCTTACTTCAACCAAAATTTTGTGCAAGGCTAGAAAATTTGAGGAGAAATGGAGATGATGTTTAAAACTTTGCAGTTGAAATGCTTTGAGAAAGATAATCATATGTATGTGTTGATCAGGGTTGACATTATGACCATATGACAACCAATCTTGTCGAATGTATCAACTCAGTGCTTAAAGGGACTCGACATCTTCCGGTAGCAAGTATTGTTAGGGAGAATTACTTTAGATTGGGTAAAATTTTGGTGGAAAAAAGTGCACAAATAGAGGCCATGATAAACGGTGAGAGAAATTGGCCTCAATATTTAGAAAAGGCAATGAACAAAAAATAAACACATTGAGCATCAATGTTTGCTCATAATTTTTCCAGACTTGATTTTGATTACGTTGTCGAAGCACTTGTTCGACCATATGAGGGTGTAAATTCTTCTACATACACTAGTAATATCAATAGAAGATGGTGTTATTGGAATCAATTTCAAGCTTATAGACACCCATGTGCTCACGTTGTAACTACATGCATGAAAGTTAATGTTGACCTATACTCTTATGTTGATGATTGTTATAGCCTACATACTATGTGCAACATAAAAAATTATGAGTTTAAATATCTCTTAAATGATGTTTATTGGCCACCTAATGTTTTTGAAGAATGATTGCTGAATATAAAATTACGTAGGAAGTTGAAGGGTCGACCTGAATATAGTCGAATTCATACTGATATGGATGATCCTCAATGAGAGCAAGGTCTACCAAAACTTTGTGGCCATTGTAGAGGTAAAGGCTACAATAAAAAGTATTTTCCACATCTTCCTAAATATTGACTTGACCGATAAAACCTTCGTAATTGTTTTCCCTTGTTTGTTGTACCTTTTTTTACTCCCTTTATGTATTTCTCTAATTTTTTTATTTTTAACTTCATCTTTTAAAATTTTTGAACATCCTTAAACATCTTTATTTTTAACTTTTCGTATATAATTACAAACTACTCATAAATAACTTTTAACAAAAAAAAGTTACTTCATTACTAAACACAAATTCATACATATATTTAAAATATTTTTCAACATAAAAATCAAATTTTCGTCTTCTATTTCTTATTCTCAATTTCCATACTGTTATTTTTCTTTTATCAATTTCTCTCTATAAGTTGTGTAGACACTTTTTTTCGTGCGAGACTTCAAGGGTCTTTATTAAAATTTTTATATTATACATTATATATAATAATAATTTCAAAAATATATTATATATATAATTTTTGAAAATATATAATATAGTTTTTGAAAACATATAATATATATTTTTTGAAAACGAATTTTGAAAACATATATAATATATGTAATTTTTGAAATCATATTATATTGTTTTTGAAATATAATATATATTATATAGTTTATATATATATATATATATATATATATATATATAATATTATTATTAGTATTTTATTTTCCTTTTTCTTATCTATTTTTATTTTTATTTATTTATTTTCATTTCATTTCATTTTTTATTTATTTCATCTTTGTTTTAGGTCCAATAAGAGTCTAAGTCCTAAAGGATTCACGATCTATCGAAGGTAAGGAAACAAGGGTCCAAGTTAGGGCATGCCTAACCTAGCAGACCAAGATCGAGAATATTAGATTGAATATTATATAGAATATTAGATTGAATCTACCATTATTTTAATTATAATAAATATGTTATATTGTTATATTAAGTATGGAATTCGAAATTATAATTCTAGTTTTTCTAAATTCTAGTCTATAATTCATATTAATAATTCATAGGAATTATGAATAACTAATAGATAGTTAATAGATAAGATCATAATAATTTGTTGAATTCCTACGGATAAAACATTTATATTATTTGATATTTGAGCCCGCTTACCTCAGGCAAGGGCAAAGCCTAAATACCCAACAGGCCACTAAACCGGGCAAACAACAGACCTAAGGTATATTAGGGTTTTACGCATAACCCTGGAGCTGCATCATCAAGTGCCCTTAGATCGAGGAGAAAATCAATAGCCCCAGATCAACTTAAGGAATTATTTGGAATATTCCAAAACATAGAAGGTCACTAACTCACCAAATGGCACGTGAAGGCCATGCACCAGCGAAGATGGAATTTTTTCTTTCCACGGTTTAATTGGAAACCCACGAGCCAAGAAAGGGAACAAATCAACAAAAATGAAAAATCAACACAAGAAAGGCAACATTAAGGAAAATCAACTCAAAAACAACAAAATGCATGTAAATGGAAATAGAAGGCAACAAATAAAATCGAATCCCTTCGATTGCAATCAAACGGGATATCTAAATCCCATAAAGAAATGGAAGGAAATTCCCATCATGTGCTATATAAAAAAGAGGAACAAAGCATCGTTTTATTTCTCGAACCGAGAGGAGCCAAGCACCATCGAAAACCAAAGAGTCGTCGGAAAGGGTAAGAGAACCGAAGGGTTTTGGCCTAGATCTGGGGCATCCGGCTTGTTGCATGGAACTTTTATGATCGGGTTTGGGGTTGTTGGAAGAGTGTTTTGGGCTAGGTTAAGGTTCTCTGGCCACCATAAGTGGTGGTCAGAGTGGTGGTGAGTGGCGGTATGGGTTATGGTTTTCATCGAGGACGAGGGGTTAGCCGAGAGAATTTGAGAGAGGGAGAGGGGAGTGTTTTTGAGAGAATGAGACAAATAAAATAAAATGAGGCATTTTGGGCATTTATATACCAAGGACTGTAATGCAATTAGAACTTTGTTAAATTATGCACGCAGTCCCTAGACTTTTGATGTGTAATTTATTTTCGTCCCTTGTTTTAATTTAACCCTTAAATTTTATTTCTTTTCAATTTAATCATTTTTATTTTGCTTTTTTTATATATAAATAGGTAATCTGCCCTTTTTTCCTTGTTTTACAGTGCTTTAATTTATTATTATTATTTTTAACATTAATTTTATTCTTTCAAGGGGATCAAAATAAATTTCAAATTTCGTCAAAGGTAAATAATTCAGGTCGACTCATAATTTTTTATTTAAAGTTATAATTTTTACAATTAAGACAACCCGATAATCGTGTGGTACCGAAACGACAATTTGGAAGTGCTCATCCTTCCCCGATTGTAATCAACTTCCGAATTCGACAATTCTTTGTTAAGACGCAGACGTAGTAAATGGTAAGTAGGTGTCCGATCTACCTAATTCAGAAATGATTGGTGGCAACTCTATGACAATTCCAAGTCAAAGCGCGAACCTAGGGCCATCTGAAGGACCTTTGCGATAGCGACTCTGCTGGGGACTTTGAGAGTTAGGCCAAAAT